CAGCCTGAGAGTGAGACAGTCGTGTCGGACAGGTGGAACCGGAACAGGAACAGGTTTATTTTGAGCAGGAGTTCAGATGCTTTCAGTCCTGCGATGACGTCCACAGTCTCTCTGAACGCAGGTAAGCAGCTTTAATAACTCAGGTCTGATATCGAGATCTTTCAGTTTAGTCTTTTATTGTTTCGATGGTTTTTTGGTTTTGTTGGTTTCAGGAAGAACAAATCAGCCTTGTGTTAATGAATGAACTTTATTTAGACAGTAGCTGAGATAAAGGAAGGAGATAAAGAAGCACATTTGAACAGAATCAGGTCTATGCTCAGAGTTTTTACTAAACGTTGTTTTAAGTTTTATTTAATTTTGTTATTAGATGTTTTTAGGGTTTAATATTAAAATTTTGAAAGTGAAAGCAGCTGGAGACGGTTTTAGACTCTGTGTCATCTGAGGTTTATTTTCACATCAACTCTAACTAGAATGAGAGACTTTTCTATCTTATGTTTAATGTAACTTATTTAATGTATTATTATTATTATTATTATTATTATTATTATTATTATTATTATTAGTATTAGTATTATTATTATTAGTTTTGAACACACTTTAAATGCCAAATGTTCATGACTTTGTTTTGGAGTGAAGTTGATTTGTACTGTAAATAAAATGAACATTTGCTCCTTCAGCGTAGTTTGTGTCACCTTCAACATCTGTAACATCTGCCATGACGGCTCCGGTGCCGAAGCCGAGATCCCGGTACATGCTCGGGAAGAGTTTACAGAGCGATTCCACAGAGAGGTGAGCTACAGTCACAAGGAGCTGTGTTACTGCATCATCATTATTAATATTATCAGTAAAACCTTTTTTATTAGTTATTAATTATAGAACTGTTCTCTGTTTGTGTTCTTCAGCAGTAACGCGGCTCAGGATGAACCCGAGACAGACAATAAAACATCTGAAGTCACCAGCCCAGGTACGTTTTATTAGTTACACGTTATTAAAAACAAACCCACAGCACAACACAGTGCGCGCGTTTAGGCGGCTTTGTGGAATGTCGATGTGTTTATGGATTACAGGGAGAACCGGAAAAACCACACACTGTTTGGACAGAGATTATTGTTGTGTGTAAGCAAATGACGTTACAAAGAAGTCAGTGACATTTTGATGTGGATTAAAGCACATGAGGGCAAATAACTCAGTAAAGAAGGAAAATTCTCGCACAAAAGCTGAAGACATCAGCAGCAGGTTAAAAAAATACACTATTTGTAGTTTGTCATGATTCTTCCCAGTTGTTGTTGTATAAGAGGAATAAAAGACTGCTGTTATAGGAAAATAATCGACTTCAGGGTGGTAACAGTAACTCCGCTTCATCACAGCGTCACTCGGTGTTTTTCTGTAACACACAGTTGATTATTTACCGTTCGAGAGAGCAGAGTGTTTCTGCAGTGAGACGTGTGAGATGTTAGTGTACCGCGTACTCGCTCTGTGACAGCGCAGGACATGAAGAACAAGTTTTTGGTTTTGTTTTGTCAGAACTGAACGGTGGCTCGTGCTTCTCTCCTGCTGATCTCCCTGAGCTTAAAGAGACAGACGACACACATGGAGGAGACATACTGGAGAAGTACGTGTGGCCGGATTCGCCTCCGCAAAGCCCCTTAGCGTCTGATGATGACGACATTAAAAATTTATCAGACAGTGTGAAGGAGTGTGTTACCTCTGATTCCTCGGCTGATGAGTGCCCCATGACGCCCCTCACGCCACAGTCAGACACATTTTTTAACATCCACCCTCCTAAAGAATGCCACAACTCCACCAACATTGAAAGGTGGGTAAAATACCGGAATACTGATGTAGTAAAATTAAACCATACATACTGCAAAAATCTCACTAAGAGTGCACTGATCCTTACTGAAATTTTTTAACAGTGCTCCTCAGGTGACTAATTCTCAGTCTAAAGACACCACTCCATTAAAGCCACCAGTACTGAAGAACCTGAATCAACCTCCCACCCGTAAGAAACCACGGTGAGAGGAGAACCATAGTGCATATATGTATGTATGAGTGTAAGGAGGTTAGGGGTTAGGGGGTTAGGTGTTGCTCTGAATCATTGTGACCCTTGTGTGTTAGGGTTAAGGGTTAGTTAGGAGGTCAAGGGTCTTGCTCAAGAACGGAGTTGGGGCGGGACGGTTACTCTTCCTGCTGCAGGTACACAATGGGATTTGAACTCACAGCCTTGTGGTTATAAATGCAGGTCTCTAAATGACTGAATTGTTCCTCATCAGGGAATCGTATCCAGACACAAGATCAGCCATTGTTTAGGTTAGACGTTGTGGAACAGTTAGGGGTTAAGACTTGGATCAATTAGATTAGGGTTCAGGGCTAGTTCGGGTTCAAGGGTTGTAAAGGGTTTTGCTCAAGGCTCAATGCAAGGCAGCACAAAGTGGTGGCACTGGAACCTTCTGGTACAGTTCACGGGTCAGTCATTGTAAAGAAGAAGTTCTTACAGCAG